CTACTACTACTACTACTACTACTACTACTACTACTACTACTACTACTACTACTACTACTACTACTACTACAAACAAGAAAAGAAAGTTGGAAACGAAATTCCTTATTGTTTCGCACGGAAGGATTAGGAGTACGCATCATACCAACGATAACTTCCAGCAGTCACATGCAGCGCTGCACGCGCGTCGAGCCGACGTGGGCCAAAAGGTTGGCTAAAATTATGCACCGCTTGGGTCGCGTTTGGGCGGCGGCCCCATCCGCTCGGCGGCGGCCCCGTCCGCGCTCGAACCACAAAATCTGCACGACATTGTATAAATTCACACGCCAGACGCGCCCGATGGCGGTCTCAAAGCGGCCCCAAACAGCCTCAAAGGGTTCCAGAGTGCCCGAAACCCTCGACGCCGAGCACATCCGCGAGTCCTCCTCCTCCTCCTCCTCCTCCTCCTCTCCTCTCCTCCTCCTCCTGCTCATCTCCTCCTCCTCCTCTTCCTCCTCCTCCTCCTCCTCCTCCTCCTCCTCCTGCCCCTCCTCCCCCTCCTCCTCCCCACTCCTCCCCCTCCTCCCCCTCCTCCTCCTCGGCCAGTTCGGCCCCGAGTGCCCTTTTTCAGCACAGGCAGCACCCTCGAGGGCTTCGCCTGGGGAGCGCCGGGATGCCACTGCGGCGGCCCCCCCCCCGCCGCGCCTCGGCGCGCACGCCGCCCGGCGCGAAGAGCAGGCTGGCGCCGGCGCGCAGGGAGCCGGTGGCCACCTCGGAGCCGCCCGCGCGGGGCACCGAGACTGAAGGGGCCCCAGGACGCACAACCAAATACACACAAATGAGAATAGTCCCCATACCTTCCCATATCTTCTGGGTTTTTTGTCTTCCCCCCCACCTCCCACAGTTTCCCATATCTTCTGGGGAATCGACGATTTATTGTGTCTGTGTGTTTTTTGTTCCCTCCTGAAAGACACGCGGCGTCCCCTCGGATCCTGGCGTCGCGATTCTTCCGGACCGGGCGTCTTCGCCCGGCTCCGGGGCGCGGGACCCCCTCACGGAGCGATCTGGCTCGACAGAAAGCGCGCAAAGAGATCGGGTCTGGGGCTCCAGTCGTAGTGTTCTCTTCGGTGCTGCGTGCTCTTCGACACGTCGGACCTCGGGGTCCTCTGGGCAAAGCCCTTCCCTCCGAGAGGGCTGGATTTCCATCCGTGCCCCCTCCGAGGAGGAGGAGGAGGAGGAGGAGGAGGAGGGGGAGGGAGGGAGGGAGGGAGGGAGGGAGGGAGGAGGAGGAGGAGGGGGAGGGAGAAGGAGGAGGGAGGGAGGAGGAGAAGCCCCCTTGCGGGGGGGGGAGAGGGGGCACGGGCACGGAGAAAGCGCCGCTCGCCCGCCAGAGGGCGAGGCGTACGCCCTCGAGCTCCACGGAGGTTGGCTCCCCACAGGCACGGGCTGCGCAGCTCGCGGAGGCCCTCGCGGCGCCCCTCCGCGGGCGCCCGCGCTCGCCGAGGACGTACGCGCCCGCGGCCGCCGCGCCCCGCGCAGAAGCAGGCCCCGAAGTCCGGGCGCTGCCATTTGTTCACTTGGCGGCGCGCAGAGGGGGGTAGGGGGAGGGGGGAAGGCTTCTTAGAAGGGGCCTGCTTCTTAGAAGGCGCCGGCCTCACATGTATAGAGAAGAGAAGGCCCGCGCCTTCTAAGAAGCAGGGGTGCTTCTAAGAAGCCTTCCCCCCTCCCCCTACCCCCTTCTGCGCGTGGCCGATTCACAACGGGCGTTGCCTCCCGGTTTCGGGCCCGGGGACCATCACTGACTACCTCTACCAGACCACCCCAACCCAACCCGAAGGCCCGAATTTGGCCCGAATTCCGGGTTGGGGGGGGGTACGGATGCCATGCGCTTTTTCTTCGTTCCCCGACCCCCCCCCCCCACCGGAAATGGAAGGCAGATTGAGGGCTTCGGGTTGAGTTGGGGTGGTTTGGCGGGTGGTGAATCACGGATCGAACCCAACTCGAAAGATGCTGCGCTGCTGCAGCTTCTTCGCGGCGCCGGCTCTCGGGGCCGTGCGCTGGCCTCTCGCCGCCCGGCCTCTCGCGCTCCCCGCTTCTGACTGGTGCACATCCTGGAGGCTGACGCCCGTCTCTCTAGAGGCCTCCCAGATGGGGTCCGAGTAGATGGGGTCGAAGGATTGTGCCGCATCGCCAATGCATCGGCGATGCATCGCCGATGCATTGGGGATGCACCGGCGACGTCGGCGATGCACAGGTGACGTCGGCGTGGAGGAAATCGGACTCCACATCGAGCCGCATCGCCGATGCATTGGCGATGTGGCGCGATCCTCCGACCCCATCTACTCGGACCCCATCTAGGAGGCCTAGACTCTCCGTCCCCGCCCCCGCCAGTGCGCGCGAAGAGCACGTCAGGGTCAGCCCCCAGGCAGCCGACGCCGCGGTGCCTTCTGCGCGGCGTGGCTCCCCAAGACGTCTGGGCCCCGTCCCGGGGGCGGGCGGCCCAGGGACCCAGGTCCGCGCGAGGGCCCCCAGAGGCGGAAGACGGTGCAGGCGTCCCGCCGTGGCGACGAGGGGGGCCCTTTCCACCTCAGACCCCCTGCTCGCTCCAACCCTGGTGCGCTCTTCGCACGCACCTGCCGGAGGGGATGCGAGGATGCGAGGCACGGCACGCCGTCTGAGGGCACAGAGCCAGCCTCCAGGAACACGCACACGAGGGAGGCAGAGGGCGCGCGAGGCGGGACGGCGAGAAGCCAGTGCGCACTCCTCCCCCCCTGGGGACTGGCTGCCTGCTGCTCTTATCCCTGCTCGTCCACACCCTCCTCCTCCCCCCCCTCCCCCAGTCCACGCCCGTCCGCTCGCGGCCCTACATACCCCCCTCGGCTTCCCCTCGGGAAGCCTTCGCCCCCCGTCCTATATCCCCTCCTCTCCGCTCCCCTCTGCCTCCCCGTCCCCAACTCCCCCCCCCGAGACATCCGACGTGGTGATTTGTTCACACAGCGTGGCTCCCCAGAGGTCCAGACCCCGTCCCAGGGACCAGCTTTTCGTCCCGAGTCGTTGTGTACGGTCCTGGGGCCTGGCGAGGGCCCCCAGACGCCGAAAATTTGAAAAGCGTCCCGTCGTGCATTTTGTACACATCGCAAGGATGTCTAGGTCTCCACGCAAATTCTCTTTTCCCGACACCCCCCCCTCTGCCCCGAACGCGGGCACGGCACCACACGGGAAAGGCCTGGAGGCTGGAGTTCGGAGTTCCGAAGAGGAGAGCCGCAAGCTGCCTATCGCAGGGCGAAGGCAGCAAAAACAGTGCCGTCGAGATACGGATACGGATACGGATCGCCTGCGCGGGCATGCGCCCAGGCCCCCTAAAGGCGAGGCGGGTGAGGCCATGGCCTCGCATGAGAAGCTGCGCGCGTCGGGGGTCTACTCAGGACAATGTGTACTTCAGGACAATGTGTACTCATGGACAGTGCCGTCGAGAGGAATATACAAACTGCGCAACAATAAACTTTCGGAGCCCCGCGCGGATTTCATTGACTTCATTCCATGCGTAGCATGCTCTCCGCCAATGGACCGTGAACGGGACTCAGTCTCCTGCTGGTCGACCAGTGCCGCCACCATAGGCAACCAGAGGGGCCATCAAAGGCACCTCGTACCCAATTCGGGAACATCAGGGAGGCTCGTTTTGGGTAGAAGGACCATCACAGGCCTTCGCGTTCAATCTGTTCAGTGACATCAGCTTTCTCATCGTCGTCGTCCTCCTCGTCCTCCTCGTCCTCCTCGTCCTCCTCGTCCTCCTCGTCCTCCTCCTCCTCCTCCTCCTCCTCCTCCTCCTCCTCCTCCTCCTCCTCCTCACGAAAGTGGCGACAGTTGCGCAGATCGCAGCCCCCAGGGCACGGCGAGGTCCCCAGGTGGTCCACGTGGGACGTACCTCCGCTGGGCCTCCCAGGAGCCCACGAAAGTGGCGACAGTTGCGCAGATCGCAGCCCCCAGGGCACCGCGAGGTCCCCAGGTGGTCCGCGTGGGACCCACCTCCGCTGGGCCTCCCAGGAGCCCACGAAAGTGGCGACAGTTGCGCAGATCGCAGCCCCCAGGGCACCGCGAGGTCCCGAAGTGGTCCGCGTGGGACCCACCTCCGCTGGGCCTCCCAGGAGCCCACGAAAGTGGCGACAGTTGCGCAGATCGCACCCCGACGGCACGAGAGAAGAGGAGGGGGGAACACAGGAAACAGGAGAGGAGGAGGGGAGGAGGGGGGAGGAGAAGAAGGAGGCCGGGGCGACCACACTGCTGCTCTATTCAAAACGAGTGCCCAACCATGGGAGGGTTGGGAGAAATATACAGAGGCCTCGACGTCGAAATCTCAGTCGAGTCTACGCAGGTTGAGATAGGTCTGTAGGTCTGCGGGCCATGTCGTGGCACTCTGGAATGTCGGGGACGTCCAGCGTCGCGATTTTTTCACGGCGTGAAGTCTGGACCTTGCCTCAGATCTGGGCGTTGCAGGATGTCGCAGTTCGCAATTTCACCCAACATCGGGCCTTGGGACCCTCACAGATCGACCCGGCTCGAAAAATAGTACAGAAAGATCGGGTTCAGGGCTCTGGTCGTGATTTTTCACGATGTTGTAATTGTTTCGCTACGTCGACCCTAGAAACGGTAGGGTAACTTTCACTCCTTTTCACGGAGAACTCCATCTTGATCATGAAACGGCTGACCAAGTACTCCCCGAACAGGTGGAAAAACGGATCACCGAAACGACCTGGGCAACGCGGGGATGCGAAGGACGCTCGGAACTGGTTCGCGGCTCGGATCCGGTGAAACAGCGGTGACCCGGACCGCGCCCCCCACAGGGGAAACGAAGACCGTAAAGCAATGGCGCTGGAAGCGCTCAAAAACTGCCCCCAGAAGCCCGCAAAACAGGGGAAGAACTGAAACAGGGAAAGAATCGCCCTGTCCCGGCGCCCACTCAGGCCTGGAGTCTGGACCCCTTCCCGGGGGCGGGCTGCTCATCCCGAGCTGCTTTCCGACGGCCCCGGGGCCTGGCAGGGGCCCTCGCCGAGGCCGAGAGTGGCCGGAAGCTTGCCGCCGCGACGTCTTTGGGCTGTGCACGACGCGAGGCGGCCACGACGGGCCCCCGCCTCCTCCTCCTCCTCCTCCTCCTCCTCCTCCTCCTCCTCCTCCTCCTCCTCCTCCTCCTCCTCCTCCTCCTCCTCCTCCTCCTCCTCCTCCTCCTCTCCTCCTCCTCCTCCTCCTCCTCCTCCTCCTCCTCCTCCCTCCTCCTCCTCCTCCTCCTCCTCCTCCTCCTCCCTCCTCCTCCTCCTCCTCCTCCTCCTCCTCCTCCTCCTCCTCCTCTCCTCCTCCTCCTCCTCCTCCTCCTCCTCCTCCTCCTCCTCCTCCTCCTCCTCCTCCTCCGGGGGGGGGCATCTCAGGCGCAGGCCCTGCCGACGGCGACGACGCCGGTGCCGCCGATCTTCATGACCTCTCCGAGCGAGGGGCGGGGCAAGGCAAGGCGCGCCCGAGGCCGCCGGGGAGGCCGGGCCCGGAGGGCCGGCGCGGGCGGGCCGGGGCCCGCAGTCTGTAGATGTGGAGCTTGTGGTCGGTGCTGTCGGAGACGCGGCAACGCGGGTCGGCGCCAACGCGGGTCAGCCAGGGCGATGTGTGGCAAGCCGCGGCCAGCCGCTCAGCAGCTCCCCAGCCTGGGCCAGCGGAGGGAGGCATCGGCCCCGCAGTGGCTCCCAAACGCGGGTCAGCCAGAGGGACCGAAAGCGACGAGCAAAACTTCGGCCCGAACTAGACCCGCGACCGACCTGCGCCCGGCCCGACCCAGAACCGACCCGGCCCGGCCTCGGCCCAGAACGAAAAGGGCGACATGTGCGCCGCGATCCCTGACCAACGTCCAGAGAGGCCCGACTGATAAACAAATCGGGCCAGATCGGAGTGGGCGTCGAAACCGGTCGGATCGGAACGGGCGTCGGGGTCGAATCGGATCGGCCGGGCCAGATTGCACAACAGCGCCATGGAGGCATGGGGGCTGCATCGGATCGACGGGGATCAGAACCGAATCGGGTCGGGCCCGGCGCAATCGATGTCGAACACAATCGGTCGGGTCGAGGTGGGCCCTTCCAGACATCCGACGCCGTGACTTTTTCGCAGCGCGGCCCGCGGAGGCGGAGGCGGAGGCGGAGGCGGAGGCGGAGACGGAGGAGGCGGAGGAGGAGGAGGAGGAGGACGGCCCGCGGAGGCGGAGGCGGAGGCGGAGACGGAGGAGGCGGAGGAGGAGGAGGAGGAGGAGGCGGAGGCGGAAGCGGAGGCGGAGGCGGAGGCGGAGGCGGAGGCAAAGGCGGGGGCCCGGCTCTCTTCGTCCCGAGGCGTCTTCTCGACGGCCCTGGGGCCCTGCAGGGGGGGCACCCCGACGGCCCGAGGGACTTTTCCGCGGCGCGAGGGCCCAGACATCCGACGGAGGGATCGGCATCCTTCGCGGCCCCAGGGGCTCCCGACACCGTCCCTGGGGCCAACGTTTCGCCCCGGACAGCAGGCTCTGGCGGCCCCCGGGCCCGAGGACGGGGCCCCAGAGGCAGAAGTCGAGGAGGACGCCCAGGCTGACGACCCCGAGGTCAAGGACATGCGCCCAAGTGAATCGGACGCCACGAGCGCGCCATGCACCACTTCCGCCACCGCGTGGACCATAGGGTCCAGAGGCGTGAGGCGGCTCCGCCAGTGCCTGAAAGGATGAGGCCTGGCCTATGCGTCCTGGCGACGTGCGGCGTTCCCCATGTAGGAACGCTTCTTTCCCCAGGCGACCAGCAGCCAACCCGAACCAACGACAACACCCCCCATTCCTTCCCAAACAAAAAAAACTAACCAGAGTGTTGGGCGAAATTTTGTCAACAAAACAATACAACGTCCACACGTATGTGTATATAAGTAAATACATACATGTTTATTAAACTGCTCGCGTGTCTACACGATTGACGTCGGCGAGGTTCGCAGGGGCGACAGCGGGGAACACCAGGGGTTCAGGGCCCCTCTGGGACCCCACACCTGGCCAAAAACATCGCTTTCCCCACAACACGCCGACCACGGCATATCTTGTTTGATTTCGATCGGTGGAAATTTGGGCCAACGCACAGATTTGGCGGCGCGCACCAAAGGGCATATATGGAGGGGGGGTCTCAGAAGGACGCTGCTTCGCAGAAGGCGCCCGCCCCACATTCCCTGTAGATGAGGCTCGCGCCTGCTAACAAGCAGCCTCCTTCTGCCCCCGTTCTGCGCGCGGTTGACAGATGTTGCCAGGAGTTGCTGCTCAGCGCGTCGCGCCGCGGCGGCCCCGGCGACACGCTGTGCCTTGCCAGCGGACAGCGCGCCGCTCCGCTCCGCGGGGCACAAGGCTGGGGGGGAACAGAAAAAACTCGGGGAGCGGGACGCGGACGGCATGTCGTGCCGAGGCGCGGTGGGCGAGCCATGGCACGGCGAAGCGTTGAGCCGCAGCTCCTGACCGCATCGCCGATAGGTCGGCGACAGGCCGCCGATCGCAAATCCACACAATAAATGGGCGGGGCTGGCCGGCGGCCGCCAGGGACGACGCGGGCACCCGCGGGGACGCCCTCGGCGAGACGGCAGCTGCTGGAGAGCATTCCGCGGCTGGAAGGCCGCTGAGAAGCAACAGAAGCGCCCGAAAGCCTCGAACCTTGTGCAATGTACGGGGGTCACTGTATGGAATGCAAAAAGACACGTAGTACGAGTAGGGGGGCCGTGCTAAGAGAGAGCACGATCTCTTTCCTTTTACGGGGGCTCGCGCGCGCCCGTAGCCAGCGCGCCAAGTAATTCAAGGGCCAAGAGAGCCAGAGCAGCGGCAGGGCCAGAGAGGTCACAACCTGGCGCATGGCCTTCTCGGGATGCGGACACACGGCCTGCCGCGTCTTCTCGGGACCTGCTCAGCTCCGCCTGGCAACGCCCCCCTGCTAGCGACGAACAACTCCCCGCTGTGGACCTACAAGACTCGAGAGAAAGGTCTCGGGTCCTGTGGCTGAGGCGTGGACGGAGTGGCATCGGTGCCCAAACTCCTGGCCTCCCCGAGCAGGTTCTTGCACGCGTGCGCGCCTCCACGCGACGCCTCATGGCCACGTGGTCCAGGATGGTGAGAAACTTGAAGCACGGGTGGCACAACTCCCACGCCCGCTTCTATGGGATCACCAGGGGCTGACTGCTCCGACTGCGGCCCCTGCTCAGCGAGGATGCGCCCCGCGCGGTCCAACATCGCGAGATGTCTTGAAATGCGGTACTTGGCCGAGAAAGGCTGTTTTGAGCCGAGGGCGCCTGCGGATTCGCATGACAGACGGCATCCTCAGGCCCCGCACCTTGGCGATGCACCTGGGCATTCGGAGAGACCGCTGCGCTTTTCTTTGTGATCTGCCAGCCCTCGCCGGGAAGATCAAAGATATCGATCGCCGAGCGTCTGCCTGACCCTACTTCACACACCCTCGACCGGCTGCCGTCGAGCGCCCCCCACGCGACGACGGCCCCCAGCAAGTCAAGAAGCACGCCGAGCCGCCCGAGCATGTCCACTGGGAGCGAAAGAGGCACATCCATTGCAATCAAGCGCACTGCGTGGGCACCGCTGTCCTTCGCCACGCCGACAGGCGAGGTCCAGCTGGAGAGAAACTCGGCGCGCCCGCCGACACCCGCGGCGCCCATCTCGAGAGTCAGTACATGGACAGGCTTCAAGCCACGAGCGCCCCAAGAGATATCACCATTTTCTCGAACTGATCTTTGCCGCAGACTCCGCGCTGAGCTCCAGTACCCACCAAAGCCTATATGAACCTGAAGTCGAATGAAAGTCTCTCCAACGTCGTCTGCGGCAGCGAAAATCGCGAAGGCGAAGGAACTGCCCCCCGGCTGCGTCGCACGCCCCCGTTGACAGGCGCACTGCGGAGCAGCGACTGATTCAAGAGAGACGGCCTGGAAGCCGCCGAAACCGGCGCGACGCCCGCGCCCTCGCTCGTCTGGCTCGCTCGCGCAATTCCGAGCCCAGTGCCCCGTCTTCCCAGATCGGGCTCGCTTCAAGCGACTCGCTGGCTAACTCCTGGTCCAGCGCCTTGGGCGAGCACGTCCAGTCCACCCCCCCCCGGCGCCTTCCCTCGCGGGAGCCTTTAGACTTACCTTTCGGCGGAGACTGCTGGATGAAGCCTCGCCCGAGCTTCCGCCCGTGCATATATTTTCAAACTCGATTGCACATGGCGCAGATGGCAACAGTTTCGCCCTCGCCCAGAATCACGCGCCCGGGCGCATCTCTGGCCACGAAGAGCCCTTCTTCATCATCCATGCACTTGAGAGCCTAATTCAAGACGTCGTCTTCTTCGTAGGCGCCTGGCAGGGCAAACAAATACTGCTGCACTGATGTTCACCATGCCCTTCGTCATCCCCTCGGTAACCCACGAAATGCGCCGAGGAACTCATTCCACGAATACGATGGCCGCCTTTTCCCGAGAGAACTGGGCGCTCAAGTTCACGGAGTTGTTCGCTAACCGTGTCGAAACCATATGATCCCTCAGTCCAAATCTCAACCGTACCCGAGGCGGCATCACCTAACTTTGACTCTCTGAAAAGCAAATTGCCTTTCAATCCATCTGGTAAGATTACGCGGTTCTCGGGCTCATGGAACAACACTCGCACGCCAGCGATTAAATTGAAATGGTACTCGTCTTGCTTACGCTTCGTCTCACCGGAATAAGATAGCTTCTCAAAAACCTTCGGCATTATGCGGTCTTGGTATTCGGCGAAACCTTCTTGATATGTTTGACCACGATATGCCCACTGCCTTCCGCGGACAGCTGTTCCTCGGTGGAGCGATTGATGATAATCTGGAGGTCATCCCTAGCAGATCGGTGGATAAGATAGCCATGTTGCCTCTTCAGGCGTCTGGTCGTCGTGAGCCACATTTGCAGCTCCTTCATGTGGGGATGTAACCGAATACCAAAACTATGTTCCATCACATGTGGGAGGTAGGTAATGTGGTATATTTGAAGCCTCTGGTTGTTCAGGAAATTGCCCCCTCTGTCGATCAGAAGATCGGGCAGCGGCGCCCGCCCAGTAGGTCGGAGCGAACGGTGCAGCCTCCCCCCGCAAGGGTGCGTTCAACCAAGCTGATCCAGCCGGTGAACCACGACCCCGCGGGTTCCAACATGATGAGGATGACTGCACATCGGGCTGTATATATGTCCCCTGTTGCGCGGACCAGCGGGCCCTGTCATCATTTGACCAACCCGCCTCGCCGTTACCATCCCAATGAACATCTACTCGTCCTCCGCCTCCTGCCCATGGATCCTGGCCTGGTTGAAACCAAGGATAATCCAAAAGTTCTCTCCATGGCGGCGCTCGGCGCAGGAAGGTGGGAAGCGGGAAAAGCGGGAGAACTGGTGGCATTAGGTCACCCGAGAACCGGGTGACACGAGGAGTCGGCCTGACGCCCCTTCTGGCTCGAAATCAAGGGCTCCGCTGCCACTGTGGAACGTACTGGTTAAATGTGTGGAATACAGAAAGACACGTAATACAAGTAGGGGAGCCCGTGCTCAGAGAGAGCACGTTCTCTTTCCTTTTACGGGGGTTCGCGCGCGCCCGCGGCCAGCGCGCCAAGCAACTCAAGGGCCCTGCGAGCCAGAGCAGCGGCAGGGCCAGGGAGGTGAGACCGAGGCGGACGCTAAAATATGTATGCAACCACAAACCTCTACCCCCTGAGCCTGTCCCCCCCATTGATCAGGGGACAAAGTCGCCCCCTGGACCTCTCCTGGAGCGCGTTCTGGCCAGAATCTCCAGGCGGGCGCAGCCAGCGTGACCACGAGGGCACCCCAGGCTGATCAGAAACATCCATAGACCGCGCCCCGATCCCATACCCCCGACCCCATGACTTGGTCATCACGTGGACACCCAAAAAGTCTGGATCCCTTCCCGGAGACCGGCTCCTCCTCCTGAGTAGCTCTTTGATGGCCCTGAGGCCCGGTGAGGGCCCACAAAAGCCGACACTGCAGAAAAAAACCTTCCGTCGTGGTTGCTCCACCACGCGAGGGGTCCAGGATCCTCGAAACTCGAGCCTGCCCCCTGAGCTTATGTCGGGCCTGTCCCCCTACAGGGGGATTTTCGACGAAAAACAAAAAAGACCCCAAAAATACGCCAAAAAGGTCAAAAAATACGCCCGACTTAACCCTAAGCCTGTCCCCGCCCCCCCACCCCCCTCGCCCCGAAAACGTCGTCCGAGGCGGCCGACGAGCGCCGAGCGGGAGCGGTGGCCCCGGCCAGCGGGGGGGGGGCGCCTCCCGCAGCGGGAAGCGCAACGGCCTGGCACCCGGCAGCGGCGGGCGGCGCCAGGGGCGGCGCTGCCCCTCCTCCTCCCCTTGGCCGGGCCAACGCCAACATGGACTAGGGATCTGCAGATCTGGCACACGGGCGCCACGTCCACGGAGAGGGGGCCGTACCCCCCTCCTCCTCCTGGTCGGGCAAACGCTGACATGGACTAGGGATCCGCAGATCTGGCGCACGGGCGCCACGTCCACGGAGAGGGGGCCGTACCCCCCCCTCCTCTTCCTCCTGGCCGGGCCAACGCCAACATGGACTAGGGATCCGCAGAGCTGGCGCCTGGGCGCCACATCCACGGAGAAGGGGGCCGTAACCCCCCCCCACATGGCGTCGATGCCGCCTCGTTTGGCGACTGGCCGGGTCGATTCTGCACAGAGGCGGGACGCGTCGCTCATCCACGCGCCCCAGTCCATGGCTTCGTTTCCTCCTCTGAGGCCAGCCGCGGGCGCTACTGCGTTGGTGCCATTCCCCCTCCTCCTTCTTCTCCTCCTCCTCCTCCTCCTCCTCCTCCTCCTCCTCCTCCTGTCATATTCCTCCTCCTCCTCCTCCTCCTCCTCCTCCTCTCCTCCCCCTCCTCCTCCTCCTCCTCCTCCTCCTCCTCCTCCCCTCCTCCTGCTCCTTTCTCCTCCTCCTCTCCTCCTGCTCATATTCTCCTCCTGCTCCTGCTCATATTCCTCCTCCTCCTCCTCCTCCTGCTCATTGTCCTCCTCCTCCCCTCCTCCTCCGCCTCCGCCCTCCCCTCCTCCTCCTCCCCTCCTCCTCCTCCCTCCTCCTCCTCCTCCTCCTCCTCCGCCTCCTCCTCCCCTTCCTCATTTCTCCTCCTCCCCCTCCCCCGTCCCCCTCCTCCTCACCCCCGCCCCGCCCTCGGACACGTCACAGTGGCAGCTCCTGCAGTGACAGGTGAATCACAGCTGCAGCCGCTCCTGCATCGACAAGCGAACTGCAGCGGCATTGCTCGAACAGGATTGCGCCCGCCGTGGAAGGCGGTGAGTCTCAGTTTTTAGTCATCCTCCTCCTCCACCTCCCCCTCTTCCTCACCCTCCTGGACGTCGCACTTCGGACAGGCTGATCCTGTCCACATGTGCACCTCGGGCGGGCGGCGCACAAGGCCACCTTCGCCACCGCCCGAGGCGCTCCCTAGGCGGGCGGCACGCCTGCCGCTCACGCCATGTCCAGGGGGGGCCCAGGGGCCACCCACACAGCGGCACGCAGAGACGGGCGGGCCTGACCTGGCCCCGAGCCGTCCGTTAAAGCAGACCCTCCCTGGCGACTTCAGGCCATTGGTCACGCGGAGCCGCCAACTCGGATTGAAAGGCTGCCTAGAGACGCACAGGCCAAGCTCAGGGAACGGACCTCTGACAAGCCGTCCCTTCCAGGCGGCAAGACCCCGCACGATGCGATCCGTGGGCCGCATGAGCTCCGATGGCAGGCGTCCAGCGGTCGCGCGCTGCGCGCCGCGACGCACCGATGGGAGAAGGGGATCCATGCCCACCTTGACACCGCAGGCGAGCCTCGGAAAGCGATGGCTCCTGGTCGAGGAGCCGCCCTCCTGCCCAGAGGGACCCAGAGGCCAAACCACGGAGCGTGTTCTGCTGGTGTCGGCTCCTGAAGAGGCCTCCGGCCTCACGCACGAGGACACCCCGGCCTTACGCACGAGGACATAGCGACCATACGCCGCGGCTGACGCGGGCCGCCAGCGCGGCACGCCGCGCGGAGGAGAGGGCTCTCACGCGCGACCTTACGCGGGAAGCCTACGCGCGAATCTCCGCGAAGTCGGCCCCATTGCGTCGCTCGAGGGCCCCCGGGGGCCGAAAACAACCACAACCAAAAAAGCGCCCGCCGCTATTCACAGCGAGCATGTCTGGAGGAGAGTGAAAGGGAGGGAGGGGCAAGTAGGAAGGAGGACGGCGCAAGGAGGGAGGGACAAGGCGCTACCTTTCGGGCTTGAAGTGCGAGGCCACGGCGTCGTCCAGGGCCTCCACCAGGGTGGGCCCGCAGTACCTGCGGGCGAACCTCCTCGTCGTCCTCGTCCTCCTCCTCCTCCTCCTGCTCCTCCTCCTCCTCCTCCTCCTCCTCCTCCTC